AAGTGTGGTTAGACGAATTGGGGAATTCTGGGTGAAGAACACAGAATTCTTTGAACTCTTTTTGCCACTTTCTTATGTCTGAAATTATCTCAAAAAAGTTTTTTAAACACATTCGCTTCAATGTCTTTCAGCATCATTTCTATGTCGCTGTAGTGAGTTGTGTCCCTCCGAAATTCATGTCCACATAGAACCTCAGAATGTGACCTTATCTGGACACAGTGTCTTTGCCGATGTAATTAAGATGAGGTCACACTGGACTAGGGTAGTCCCTAAATCCAATGACTGGTGGCCTTATAAGGAGACAAACACACGGAGGAAAAGGGCACATGAAGACGGAAATAGAGAATGCAGTGTCACTGCTACAGGCCAAGGAACGCCAAGGATTGCTGGAAGCCACTGAGGCTAGGAACGATGAAGACAGAATTCCTTCCTAGAGCATTCAAAGGAAGCAGGGTCCTGCCAACACCATGCTTTCAGACTCCGGCTTCGAGAACTGTGAGACAATGAATGTGTTTAAGCAGTTACCCGCCTGCTTAAAACAATGACGCTCTGGTCTGCAAAACACCTTAGTCTGACACCCACAAGCTTCTGATGATGCTAATGATGATTTCATTCATCAAACATTTACTATAAGACTGACACTGCACTAAGTACATTATATACATTGTTTCTCTTAATCTTCTAACATCTGAATATAGCAGGTTCCACAGCTAATTCTACAGATGGGAAAGGGAAGCTTAGAGTGGTTAAGTGGCATGTACAAGATTGGACAGCAAGTAACCTGAGAAGCTAAGCATTGATTCCAGGCAGTGTGAATCCTGAGCTCCAGTGTTAGTTCACCAGTCCACACACAAGCTCCCCTGACTGAAGCAAACAGACCAGTGTCTGCCAGCACACACCCAGCTGCCCTGAATCCACACCTCAAACCCCGCGTCAATGCCACGTAAATTCTTCCTTCTTGGGCTTTCAAGTCCTTCCCGTCCTGGGCCCAGGCCCTGCTCCCTACCCTCTAGGGAACCTTTCCAGTCCACCCCCACCAGGCCTCAGCAGTCCCTCTTCCTTCTCTAAACTCAGCCCTCATCGTATTGCGTGCTTAGTGATAAAATAACCTCAGGAATACTTTGGATGTTATTTGGCTTTAAAAAAATGTGTTTGCCTCCAACTAAATAGCCAGTATCCTGCAAGCAGACATTAATTATACATAGGCATTTACCACATACATATCTAGACAGTGAAACTTTCCCTTCCCTTACTTTCTTTAGGCAGACACCTGACAGCCCATGTCAGCTTATAAGCAATGACAGCAGACACTTAACTAACATTGGCAATTTAACTACTTTTGAGTAAGTCAAAAGCTAATTTGCTGACTCTTCATATGAATTGTGTATAAAGTACGGTCGGCTAGGAACTGAGAGACTGGCTAACCGATTTCACCCTGTCACTGTTACTCTGTGTTGCAGTAATTATCAAGTGAGTAAAACCTGTTTTTTCTGAAACAGTCCAAGAACATAATACATTTTGAACAGAAAATCAGTTTTGTAGCTTAGAGTAAAATATTGAACCTCATGGTGGGTCTCCGTACAGAGATCTGGCATGTCATATGCTATACAGAAAAACAGGAAAAATCCATTTGGGGAGTTTACCTACAAGTGCCCCAGCAATGCGAGAGCTGCTTCAGGGAGCAACTCTAGTTTGAAAAGGTTAGCTGTATTGCACCGTGGTTACCCGGGAGACGCGGAGCACAGTGGGCCACACGAACAATGCGGCATTCACAGGTGAGGGGTTTTCGGATTGTTCTATGTCAGGGGTCTACTGCAAGGGCCAGGCAGGTAACATCAGTGAGCAAAAGGAGCACCACTCAAGAAAAACAGCATTGTCTGCACACTGATAAATGCAAATGGACACTTGCCTTCAGTGTATCGATTAAGAGGGAGAACAAGGAACTGTAATGCACTGGAGTGTGCACACCCCAACCCGTGGGCTACGTGGTGTCAGTCAGTTGCTGCCTTGAGGGATTGATTGATTGACTACTCTAGATTGATTGACTAGATCTCATGACTACTTCCAATTAAAGAGAACAAAAATGTTAGCTACTCCATTTAAAACAAACACTACAGAAACCAAATACATATGCAAGCGAGGATGTGGCCCATGGCTCATTGGTTTGTTCGTGCTGGGCTGTTGTTTACATGTCTATCTTCCCCCTTAGTCTGTGAGCTCCAGGTACCTAGAATGGCAGTTGGATAAAGAACACGTTTCCATAGTTTTTTGATCCATTCATTTACTGATGGGCACCTAGGATGCTTTACACAATGGAATTCTAAGCAGCAGAAAGAAGGAGCTACTACCCTTTGCAACAGCATGGATAAAGCATTATGCTGAGTGAAATAAGCCAGGCAGTGAAAGACAAATGCCATATGATCTCACCTTTAACAGGAACCTAAACAACAAAACAAGCAAGCAAGCAAAATATAAGCGAAGACGCTGAAACACAGAACAAACTGACGGGAACCAGAGGGGAGAGGGGAGGGAATTTCAGGGGAAAAGGGGAAGGATTCACAGGAACAAGTATAAAGGACACATGGACAAAAACTAAGGTGGGGGGTGGGGCTGGGATGGGAGTAAAAGAAAACTGTACTTGAACAGTAATTAAATATTTTAAAAAAGAACGTTTCCACTTGAAATTCAAGGGCTTAAAAGTTTCAAAAAATTAGTAGGATGTAAAATGCACTCCTCAGTATTTATTGCATACCCTGATACAGCCAAAGCACTGTTGTGAGATTAGGAAAAGGGCATGCAATAATAAGCTGCATTCCTGCTGTTCTCTTGAAACCTAATGAGTAAGAATGCAAAGCCTGTATCACAGAATCCGGGAGGAGCGCATCCCAACCAGGGAGGACAGACAGCAAGTGCTCAGAAAGAGGTGTGTGTCTGAGGGAGACAGGAGAGGTTGGTTCATGGAAGATGCTGGCAAGGGTAAGCTCCCGTACAGCAGAGTCAGGGGTTTGTATTTTACGCAGTAAAATGGGAAAACCATTAGGTTTATGTGTTAGAGTAACATGTGATCAATGCTTTAAAGAGATCATTAGCTGTTTGAAGAATTGTGGCAAAGGGCTACAGGCAGGGTAGGAATTTCTTCTCTAGAACTGGGTCAGAATTATACAGAGCAGAGGGGTCAGAGGCACGAGGGTCAAGGGGCCACCTGGTATCCAAGTGCCCAGTGTTGTCCTGCTTTATGATCTTGTGCTGTTCAGAAATCATATCCAATCCCAGTGAAGCAGCATTTTGAAAACAGCTGTATTTAGGACTGTGTCCACAGGAAACAATCGAAGTAGTTGGATGTGTTCTAGTGGGGTTTGGATTGCAGGAGTAAACATAAGAGCCCCCTTATACTTGTCGAACACATACACTATACAAAGTGCTATGAAGTAAGGGTCAGTCTGCAGTCAAGAGATCAAACCTGCTAAATTACCTTAGCAGAGGAAGGACATCAGGTGACATGAAAGCCTTTTTTTTTAAAATCTCAGAAATGAACTAAATTCAAATGGTTACAAAGTCAAACTGTGACCTCCAGCCACACAATAGCTACTCTGTAGATCTAAGGGCTCAAGGTCCACACAATGAATGCTGCTCTCCTTTCCTTACCAAACCCCATGTACACCGTCTCTCCAGCTAAACCATACCTCCAACGTACCTAGGCATTTAACGTGATTCTTAAAAATCTGGTTAAAAAAACACCCTTGACCTTCAGTTATCTTGTACAACCCAAGATGAATTAAGAGATAGCTCTTAGGACAACGAATATTTGTTATCAAATTACCTTGTTTTGGGGAACTTTCCTGAAAGCTAACTTTAAATTTTTAAGTAACACCTTTGATGTAGATTGTGTGCATTAATAATGGGGTTAATACCTTATAGTACAGTGACATTTAGAACCATAAAGCAAAACTTAGAACATCAGAAGGCATTTAAGAATTCCACTGGTTTCCTTCTCTTCCCCTCTAAAAATGAATAAATAAGATCTTAAAAGATTTTTTTCACTGGTCTATAGAATTAGGATACCAACTGAAAAGGACAAAAGTAGTTACCTTTGCTCAACAGTTGGATCTGATTTAGCACCATGTTGTAAGTTCAAGGTTAAGTTCTGGTTTGTTGACGTCGGCAGCTTACTTTAGAAACAGTACCGAACACTGACCTAACATTCGATGTTACACCACCGGGCTCTGCTCACGCTTCCTTTTCCCACACGAGAGGACGCCCAACCCCCCCCCCAACAACAACAAAAAAACCACCCAGGCTTATCTTCTGGAGGGCGGGCTGTTGCAGCACAGGCTTCCCCACTAGGGGAGCATTCTAGGAACCCACCTGTCATCAGTGCACCATACCAGGTGGTGTTGCTGAGAGGCTGTGCTTGGCCTCAGTGAATTTTCTCTGCATTCTCTCAATGCAGCATCTGCCCACCTCAAAATGAGTGATTTACAAGTGCATCTGCCCACACCACACTGTTCAGCAGTTCTTCACCAAAAAAAAAAAAAAAAAAAGGCTCCCCCACTACATGCCCCAACCTCCCTATTCACCTGATTCTGCCAAGTGACTTTTGTTTCCCCAGATGAAAAAAGTCCTCCAAGGAAAACATTTTGCTGACGTGGAAGAGGTGAAACAAAAAACGAGCACTACATGGCATTATAATTGCACTAAAAGCAACAAAGTTGGTTAGATCAGACTGACTTGAGCAGTGGAAAAAAAGTCTCAGAAAATAGATGTACTGCATTGAATAGAGAGTATTTGAAGGTGACTTAAGTTTAAACATGTAAGAACACACAATTTTTAATAAATTGTTTTTGGGGGTTCCACCTCATATACAGGGAAGACTTTCACAATAGTTCCCATTGTAGGTTAGAATTGTTATTTCAATAATCTCAAACTCTGGCTAATAGTGGAAATAGCAAGTTTGTCAGAAAATCAGCACAGCCATTTTACTATTAAAATTTTGCTCCTTTTAATAATTTATTTAAATAAGGTATTTTGGAGAAGCAGTTTAGAAAAACAAGATTTGTATTTTATTTCCTTGTAAAAATCTTTACACATGCAGACAAACCAGTGTTAAGAAAGTATTCACCATCATTTAAACAAATAACCACTTAAATAGAACAGTGTCTGCAATTTTATCTGTATAAAAATAAGATACATTTTTATAGAATTCACACTCCAGTTCTTATAGCAATAAACAATACACAACTATAAGTACAACTGAACCTGACCATGGTTTTCAATTAGATACTGCTAGGGCATTTTAATGTGCCAAAAAAAAAAAAAAAAAATTAACATACTTCAAGAGAAAATGTCCTCAGTGTTTCTACAGACCTAGAGGGTTTTAAGAAATCAAATCCTAATCAGTTTGTCTTTAATGTTCTGACTACGAGTCCATACATCACATTGAAGATAACCAGGAATCGATGCAGGCTCAACAGAAGAAAGTCAGCGCCTGTGCCTGCCATGTCCTGAGCGACTGCCACCATGGTGCTTGCCTTTATGGGACCTCTCAAAGGAGCGAGATCTTTCACGCCTGTCCCTATGATGTCCCCTTTCATGCCTGTGTTTCTTGGCAGCATCTGAGTGATCCCGAGACTTGCTCTGAGATCGAGAGCGAGACTTTTTCCTTTTGTGACCATGTCTATTTGAACTTTTTAAATCATCTCTGGTATGCTTGGCCTTAAGGTGAGGAGAACCATGATTATGATGTCTTCTTGGGCTTTCACTGTGACTGCGGGACCTGCTTCTTGATCTTGAGCTGTATGTTCCAGATCGACTCCGCCTATTATTGTAACTTACATAATAAAAATTTGAGGTTTAGATTTGATTTCTGGTGGACAGATTTACTCTGGTGGCGCGCATAACAGGTTCAAAACAAAACTACTATCAGGCCTGTACTGACAACCGGCCAGACAGAAGACTTACTCAATTTCTTCCCCTTCACCCCCTCCCCTCCAACCTGTATCACACGAACCTTAAACGAGTGTTTAAGATTTGGACTATATGTCTATATTCCAAGAAGAGTAATTAGCAAGTTTTATAGAATGTTCTAGATAGCTAATGCTTTTTATTGAGTATCTCCCATATTCCCCAAATAGCCACAAATAGACAGCAATCTAATTAAAAGCTAATCAGAAGATTCTTTGGCTATGGTCAACTTATTGGTTAAAAAGTGGTTAAACAGCCACATATTCTAACTGAGGTCAGAGAGAAAGACAATGTTTTCACATCATATACCCCCATAGCACTTTGGCCAATCCCTATACTTCTCAAACCCGCCCCCCTTTTTGGCAAAAACAATGCCATTAAGGCATACCAAATAAACAAATAAAGCCCCAGACATGCAGATCATACTACCAAACTCATTTTTCTTAACTACCCTTATGTAAAATGCCTAAGTCTAGCCTAACTCATTCAACTGTTTTTTAAAAGGGTAACTTTTAGCCCTGGCTGGGTAGTTCAGTTGGTTAGAGCGCTGTTCCCTATGTCAAGGTTGCATTTTGAGTTTGATATAGCATCAGCCAATGAACGCATAAATAAGTAGGACAAATTGATGTTTCTCCCCACACCCTTCCTTTTTCTTTCTCTAGGATCAATAAATAAAATTTTAAAAGAGTAACTTTTAAACACTCCAAGATTGTTTTCCCAAGAGAATCTTTACTTATACTTACTGTCTCCTTGGAGTATGTGATCTAGAATGTGATCGTGTTCTTGACCTTGATCGACTTGCACTTCTGCTATTTCTACTCCTCTTGCTGTCTTTTCTTACACTTCAAAAACAAAACAAAACCAAAACCTTAGTATTTTAGTGTTCTAGAAATTAATCACATAAAAGATCCCTCAGACCAGTTTTCTAACTCAAGTATACGCACCCATTATAAGGGCTTTTGGAAGCCTGTTGTCTGTCCTCAGGTTCTTTCTTGACCGTCTTCACATTAATGGAGATTGGTGACTTCTCTTCAGCCTTTACTTCTCTTGGTGATGCTTAAAAAACAACATACAAAACCATAACAAAGACATTCTGATTACTGGATTTAACAGAGAATCAGAAGTTGTTTGTAAATATAACTCAACCTAAACTTATCATGCTTTTAATTATGTCTTTAGTTGACTATCAAGAGTAAACAGTAACAACATCATTGTTTTCTTGCACCTGTTACATGCTAAAACTTCTTAATAACCACACACCTTCAGTGCCCAACTCATTTCAGTTCTGAATAAATCTTACATGGTTTAGAGGCTGGAGAAAATCCACCGAGGGTTGAAAGGGCTGGTGTTCCATCAGGATTCAATCCCTTTGCTTTTAATTTGGCTTCTTGTAAGGCTACTTTTCTTTTCTCTACTTCTTTTTCCAGCAATTCATAGTTTGGCTATTGGGGGAAAATAAGGTTACTTTCACAGTAGTTTATAGTCTTATCCCTGAGAAAAGTATGAACACAAACACGGGTAAACAGAATTACCTTTTTTCTGGTATAAAGCCTAAGGGTTTCTATGCAGATATCCTGAATCTCCTCTTCTGTAGTGCCGAAAAGAAGAAACCAGTGGGGACGAGTTGGCAAAGGAATCTAACCATAAAAACAGAACGGTTTCGATTAAATGTTCACTTTTCACTAGGATGACTGCTTTATCTGTAAGACGAAACACACTATATATACCTACCTGAAGAGCTCTAGCTGCAAGGTAGATACAAGCACATGCTATGGTCTCTGGTTGAAATCGAACAAATACATTGGTTCGAAGACTGTCATTCATATAATTCCTGAAAAATATTTTAATCATAAGCTCTGCACATAAACCAGTTCTAATGTCTACATAAAATTGGAGACTCAATCTACTTTATTCTTTTTTCTTCTCATATTTATATTCATATCTTCACACTCTAGCATATAACAATTCTTAACTCAAAAATCAATGAGATAAGAATTTAACACTAGAACAATTGTCAGCATTCCAATATATGACCGAAGTCCTTTAAAATAATTGTTATTATTCCAAATAGAACTTATTTCTAAAGTTGTAGAAATACATTTTTATGGAAAGCAATGCTTTGAAAGTGAATTCTGACACAACTAGTTCAGAAATGATAAACCACTCCAACAATACTTCAAGCCATTAATTACCGACCATCTCTCCTTTATCCACAATGAAAATCAATTGTCAATAGCAAGTTCTTTAAAAAAGTCAAAAGTACTGTGACAGGGGTAAAAAGGTAAGCACTCACTGAGTTACATTAAGAAAGCTAAGCTACTTCAAAAAAATCGACACAGGGATGTGAAGAGCAATCAATATATAAAACGACCTTGTGACTAAGTAAAAATAAAAGCAATAAACTTCAGTTTAATAAACTGCTCAAGTTTTAAAGTAATGAACCCTCCCCACAACATTCCTGGAGTACTGATTTTACAATTGTTTAAAACGTTAAAGGACTGTTTCTTAGAAGCTAAAATCTGTTTTATAGGATATATATTAAAAGTCATGCATTTTATAAAAACGGTAAATTTTCTATTATTAGTATTTACTGAATCCAGAAAAAGCATGGCGGTCATATGTCCAGAGCATAAAAATTAAGTCTTGCAGACCATGTGTCTTGAAGTAGTAGTTGTGCCTGGACCACAAACTCCTTGTTTTACTTTACCTTTAAATAAGCCAGCATTCCAAATCACACATCTGCATCTCTAAAGTCCAAGTTCTAAAGAGCTTATGTTAATAGCTCTTTTAAAAATCAAGTACTCCCACCCTAGCTGGTGTGGCTCAGGTGAACTGAGTGCCAGCCTGTGAATCAAATGTTCCCTGGTTCGATTCCCAGTGAGGGCAAATGCCTGGGTTGTGGGCCAGGTCCCCAGTAAGGGTGCACGAGAAGTAACCACACAGTGATATTTTTCTCCCTTTCTCCCCACCTTCCCCTCTAAAAATAAATAAATAAAATTTAAAAAATAAAAAAGCACTTAATTCGCTTATTGTCGGCAATAACCCAGCAGCTACAAATTCAATCAGTATGGAAATGGTGCCCATTTTAAGCTACAAGCTGTGATTCCTTTGGTAAAATTCATGCTATACATACTGAAAATAGAAATCTAGTCAAACTCTTCACAAAAAAATTACTTAATTCATAATGGCTGGATAACAAATTTATCAAAAAATGAGCTATTCATTTTTTCAGGTACTATTCATAGTTACAGGTACACATTAAATACATAGGCATGTTGAATAGTTACTTCTAGAAGCAAATATACAAATCCTTTTGACACCCCGACAGAACTAGAAGATGCTGCCAGATGGATATGGACCACTTCAGTGAATCTCGGATGAGAGCTTGCACTGGATTGGCTGGAGAGCAGGGCAGCCAATCAGGCCATCCTGAGGTCATGGGCTGAAGTGCAGAGGGCAGAGTTCTATGACTTACCATCATGGACTACCCTTTAATTAAAGAGTAGAAAAAAGAACAAAGTTAAACTGAGTTCTCCATTAAAAGTAATTAGTCAAGCCAAGAAAACAGGAAGCAGAAATAAGCTTTATTTACCTTTTGATTAAAAAACAAACAAACAAAAAAAAACCAAAAAGCACGAAAAGAAACTCATCTCATTATTTTGGAAAGGGAAAATGAAACTTACTTTATTTCTGCTTCTGTTTTCCTGGCTAAGAAAGAAATGTAAATAAAGCAACTTACCAGGCAGTTTGAACCAGGGTTTGATTACGTTCACATTCTAAGACTTGTAAATACATAACAATGATCTGAAGGACAAGGGGAAAAAAACCTCAATTTAGCACATCATTGGTTCTTTCAGAGTACACAGTTCAATGAATATAAATAACTGAAAATGTTAGGTCCAAGCTTTAATTCTTCTATAAACTGCAAATGTATCTGAGTCAATGTGGGTTATTATGCTACTAGATTTCACAAAAATTGTATTTAAAAATGTCTCAAAATTATATAGAAAAATTAAGTTAATTCAATGAAAATACCCATTTTTTCATAAATGCTAGGTGGTAGGCACTGTGTTCTGCAAACAAAATAAAACTAACAGACCACAGCATTTAATTTCCCAAGATACAATTCTCCATGTCCCACAACCTTAGATACTGGATGTTTTTAGGGTTATACAATGGGTATGATACATATTGTAGTATTCTAAGTGGGCATTACTTTAAGCGATCAAACACCATTCCACAATGAAGCTCATCACACTATACACAACTAGCTTTACCACAGTTCAGATGAGGTATTTCAGGATCTTATTTTATTATTCCCATTTTACAATATCAGAGATGTGCCAAAGCCACACACTAATGGCAGAGACAAGTTTCTATTACAGACAGTCCTGCCCTCAGAGGGAGCTATTACTTTGCTGATCACATTCAAGCTGAGAGTTGCTACAGAAATCTCTAAACATTCAGTTAACAGTGAGCAGCCACGCTCTGAAAAGTTTACCATGTAACAGATAGCATGCCAGGTTCTTTTGTGTGTACACACACAAGCACAACTTATTACTTTGAACATCATCATCTGTTTCTAGGTAGGGAAAACTGGGTTAACCAGAGAGGCAAAAAGAACTTATCTATGCCTACACAATAAAGAGTGAAGATCTGAACCCAGGTCGGACTCCTGTTTTTCTAAAAAATTTCAATATCCAAAAGGATGCTTTTAAAAGTCACAGTTAACTCTCAAATATAAACATAAATTCATATAAGATAAAAATTTAAGAAAATCCTAATACTTACGAATATAATTTCTGTATCCTACAACTCACCTTATGGGGATGCTTGACATGAACACAAAATCCCAACTCCTTTAGCACCCTCCTCTCTGCCTTGATAACTTGATTTTTGGTGTTAATGTAGTTCTGATCAAGGATCAGGGGGCTTGGAGTCCTATAGTTTGTAAGAAATAAAATCAAAAATGTTTTGCACATCCAAAAAATTTTATTTGTGGCATCTCCGTTTTCCCTTCCAACCAACTATTGGCAACAGAAACCAGCTTTTTAAACTCCTGCAAACAAGTTAAGGCATTAATCTTGTGCTGTCCAAGTTATGCTAATTAACTAAGTATATACACCTTTCTAAATTCCTACAGAAACTAACTCCACCCTGCAATGAAAAGAATCCACTCTAATTCTCTTGGATTTATCCTTGTTCATTTCTCATATGGATATTATGGGTGTGCATATATATAAATAAAAATACACAGATTAACTTAAGTGATAGCTTGATTATCACAAATTCTATTAGTCTCCTAACTGTTTCAAGTGACAAATGTGCTTTTGAAAAGATTTACTCTAAGACTGCAGAAGATTAAAGATGATTTTACTTATTTTATGAAACATTAACTCTTGGTTACATATGGCCAAAATTAAAATTATGTGAAAAAATGGTGGGTAGTTAATCCCATCATTTAATGGGCAATTTGTTTAAACAAATTATTTTAAGAAGCTATAGAAAATCTGCAAACTAAAGATTCAGTTCAATTATCAAATTCAGTTCAGTCATATTCTATCAGATTCAAAACTCAAAGTGATCAATAAAAGCCATGCCTAAATTTGGTTGAGCTGTACTTATTAGGCAGTATGTTTAGCATGCAATGCAAAGGCAAGACCATGAGGGAACCAGAACCACACTCAAGGGTCTCTGTGACAGATTAAATTTTGATAGCTTCCAAAGTTATTATGCAGAGGTTGTAATTCAATCAGTGGTTCGATGCTTTAGAAATAGCACGTTCAATTAAAAGGCTATCTTATTTAACTCTTGAAATTAAAAACTGGTTTCTTTTATTTGAACTTTAATGCTCAAAAGTGGTTTCTTACTGAGAACTTTTTTGATCAGGACTTGGACTTTCATGTAAAAGCCCATAACATATCCTAATGCCCTTCATTTGATACATTTTTAGATCTAACCAACAAAAAATACACCTTTGTTAAGATATATAGGTGTATATATATCATATATATGGGGTGCATATGAGTAGAACATTTATTTAAATACCTTCTCATACTCAATTCACTTTCAGTCAAAAGATTCGAGTTTTTTAAGTCATTCTGAATATTTACCCCAATGCACAACTCCTTTTACCGTGCATCACAAATTCAGAAAAATGTAAGTTCATACTTTTTGAAAATCAAAAACCAATTTAAATACATCCACTTGAGGATTAGAAAACAATCTGAAATAAGCTATATTAACTACTCCTGTACTGACATTTTATCAGAGTAGAAATCATTTCCTTATTTTCTCACACTTAAATGAAAGCTACAATGCTTATTACACTATTTCAAGTTATTCTATTTTTTATCAAATTATATTAAACAAGACCAAAGTTGACAAAATGGAAAATAGCGGTTACTTAGGTTAACAATGCTGAAAATGGCCTTCACTCAGATCAATTCCTATTACTGATATGAAAAGGTGTGAGAAATGAAGCCACCAATTGGAGAGGAGGTTAATTTCTTATATAGTATCACAATGAATCAATTTTTATCAGGACAATAAGCTACAACTTAACTGCTCTTTGAAGGGAAAAATCAAATTTAACTTACATGAGAGCAATAAATGTATATATGAAAACATATCCCAAAGATATTAAGGTTTATGAGTTTTCAGGTTTCACCACAACAGGAAATTAGTTAAATCCACCTCAAGCTCTTCCTGATGATTAACTATCTAAACATCCTCCTTCAACAGGCATTAGGACAGAGGACACCCTTGGTGAACACCACTTTAACTCTTAACCCGCTGCAATTCAAATAGCAAAACTGCACCACTGGAATCTGTACAAAAATAAAATCCTGTAAAAGCACTTTTGTCTCATTTTTTTACCCTATTTATGTTGAGCAAGCTCAATCTCTTATACCTCTTACTAAGCTTACTCTAGAGTTGCCTGCAGCAAATTGTTAGAATTCGTTTTTTCTTGTAATTAACCAGCTACACATGTGAATTACAACTACTACCTGGTGCCCAATCAGGCTTAATTATTCATTAACCCTGCCTTTATTGAATTCTTATTTTCCCTTTACTCTGCCATAATCTTTACTAACTTTTTTTTGTTTCAATATCCAATTAAAATCAATTAAGGAAACCAAACCCATTATCCATTGATTATCCATCAACTACATACTCAACTTCTTGTTTAGGCCTACTATTAAATGCAGTTTCTCGGAATTAACTTTATGAGTGCATAATCTAACACCTTCATTTTGTTCAGAGTAAATTTTACCTCAAAGATCAAGGAAGGCTCAATAAACATGTAATTTAATCTTATAAAGATTCTGTAGAAGAAAACCACATTGTCCAGATAAACCAGCAAGAAAAGGTTCAGGAAAACTGCCTAAGCCAAATGGTTTATTTATATTAACAATGTATCAGTTAGTACTTTCTGTAGCAACAAGCACATTAAATTGAATTAAGGTTTGCTAGAATGTCTTCCTTTCCAATTAGGTATACTTTCCAATAAAAGTTTGAAGGGGGGGGGCATTTTAAATCTCTTAAAAAGAAACCATCTATTCGGAGAGAAAAAAATATTCATTATCAACAAACAACCAAACCTGACTCTCTACCTCCCCCGTTAAGTTTGTCACATTTTTCAAATTAATTTATATGAAAACAACAATTTCCAAATTTTAGTCTTAATAGGAAATTTTGGGCTTTGGTCATTGGAAGTTTATTATCTGGCCCCTCAGAATAGCATTTTTTCCTTTACCATGATTTAGTTAAAATATACCTTGAAAAAAAATAGGATTAGGAGACCAAAACATAGTTGTTTCACTCATGCAGTATAAGGACCGAGAAAATTTGGAACTTGTTCTTCAAGGAACTATACTAAAATGAGTTGTTTAGAGGGAGGTAGATTGCTGCTCAATACCCAGAAGTTTGTGATACTTCGAAGAACCACTTTTTTCTTAGTGGGATCAAACAAACTGAAGGCCACCTTAAGAGGCACCAAAATAAGCTGCAAAGGGATGTTTGACTAAAGATCCTCTTTAATGATGACAAGATCACATAAGACTCTTCCAACTTTCACCCATGACCTACGTACATGGCGAAAATACCTCACCACATGCACCACTGACTGGCTGCACCAGTCTGAAAACTTCTTCAGACAAACAAGTCATAGTATGAACGTGGGCTCCTTAAAACTACAGAAAACCCTTGATTTGCTGGGAACGTGTTGTATCCCCAAAGCAAGTAATTGGAAACTATTAAAATGAAAAAGTAACCGTCCTTTAAATTCAGCCACTCATTCTTTATTCTGAGCTTAAAAGAATTACCAAACTGTAAGAACAAACAAACCCCCCGAAACAGAAAAACCACCAACCACCACCACCACCAACCACCAAAAACCAATGGGGAAGTTGAAAAATCCAGGACGTCGCTTGGGCATTGGTACTTTCTAAAAGCTGATCTGATGACTCTAATGTGTTGGCAGGACAGAACGATAACCTAAACACCACAAAATGATGCCTCCTTTGTAATTTCCCAAGTTCACACAATTTAAATATTTTATAGATATATTAAAATAATAACATTAAAATAAACTGGTAAAGCCCTGGCCAGAGTTCAGTGAATTTCAGTGTCATCCCAATCAATATACCAAGATTGTGAGTTTGATCCCTGGTCAGGGCACATACAAGAATCAACCAATGAATGTATAAATAAGTGGACAACAAACTGATGTTTCTCTCCCCCAACCCTTCCTTTAAAAAAAAAAAAAATCAATAAAATTTTTAGTAAACTGATATTTTACCTAACTAAAGTATAATACTAATAATACTTTCTAATGACATTATCCAAAGAAAATACTAAATTACAGTTCTAATAACTTGGACAGCAAAGACTAAAGCTTATAACAAGAAACAGGAGTTTTTCTAAATGGTTCACCAGTGGCCAACCTGTTAGTCCCCGATTCCAGTGACCTATTCTCAGAGCACTGGCTTCTCCTTGGGGATTTTCCATACTTCACTCACTGTTGCCATGACGACAGCTTCATCTCTATGTACCACTCCACATCACCCAGGCTTTGGTAAATGTAGCTGGTCGCTGTATAGTCGGTTGCAAGGGAAAAAAGAGTTGAAGTTAATAACATATACAAGTTACGTGTCTGAGTAAACTTGTTATATGCACAGAAACTTTTACATCCTGCTTTTTAAAAAGCGGCTTCCATGCAATTAACAACTCCTTTTAAATTTCATGCTAGTCACTTCTAAGATTGAGACAAAAATCAGTCTCTCCATAATGACCCCTCCCCCAAAACACTGTTCATCAGACACAACCATCAGGTGAGATGTTTTAAATTCCAAGGCTTTTACAGTTAAGACCTACTCTGACATCAAGGAAGAATACTCTCACAGAAAAATTTCAAAGTAGATAATCATTGTAAGTGATAATATAAGAGTGAGCTCAATAGTTCAAATAGAAAACTTCCTTAAAGCAAGCACAGAATCCTTTGACTAGAGTTTTATCAGTCATTTTGTTTTAAACACCCTAAAGAATCAGCTAGATACCTAAATAAATTTTAGCTCAGACAATACTAAATACCAAATTGAAATCTTCCCAATTTCCAGGAATTCCTCATCAAGAAGCTACAAGATATTTTAAAGTGAAATAAAAAACTAGTCTATCCCTGGATATGGTTAGGATGAATGAGAAGAGATGGCAGGAAAAAAAACATGTAAGAAAACTGAAAAATGTGACAACCATCTGAGTAGCAATGTTTCAGACTTTGTAACTAACCTTTTCCAGGTTACTTTATATTTGCTTGTCACTGAACAGTTCTATTATGCTAACTTCCAGATTCAGCCTACAAAAACCACTCATGTAAGATACTAAATTGGCACTAACCAACACCCAGCCCCCCAAACAACTTAAAATCCTTTTATGACTTCCTTTCAAACTCAGTACAGGTTTGTCTAACGTCATCACAATTACTTAAGTGAAAAGAACTAGTCTATACCAACTTCTGCAGCACCTACTAGAAGTCATCTGAAGACACGGAGGTGCTGCACCAAAATTTTTGGTACAGCCTCACATGAACACGTTAAGTCCACATAAAGTATTATGACACAGCCACAACATCTATAAGACACTATTTGGGCTCTATTTTCTTACAAAAAAAATGGCCCTTATCTAAATGAAACCCAATCAATTATTTTTCTAACCCAATCACTGAGACTGTATCTGATCCAAACAAAATACCTGTTTAATCCCTTTGACTTCAAACTTTATCATCCTGCAGTCCTTTCAGATCCGGTATTATGCGATATATCGTAGTTCAATGTTGAGAGGTACTCTAACAACAGCCAACCTCAATTGATAAAGAGTTCACTGAGACTTCCAAGTAGAGAAACAATCTACACAAAACTTTGCCACAGTATTAACTTGAACTACAGTGTTTAAACTTCCAGCCTTCAGTTTTCCAGAAAGGGATGGGGAAAAACAACTTACAGAATACACTCACACTTGAGCCAACCGTATTCCCTTCTTTAATCTTAAGCCACAGGACTGCTTCACAGCACTGTTAGGATTGTCCACAAACGCAACTGCCTCTATAAACTTTAGATAGCTGGTTAATTGTGGTTTCTTTCATTAAGTTATCAGTGTCTCCTACATGATTTTCAACACCTAAGTAAGTTTTCCTGTGCATGGGTTTTAACTTGAGAGAAAAGAATGTTTTGATGATTGGTACACAGTACAGTAGTATCAAGAGCTGCTGTGTTCAATAATGCCAATCTTACCTTTTTCCTCTTAACTGGCGTAGGTGGTGAAATACATTAATCACATCTCTTATTCTTCTAGGTGCTTCTTCGATTTTTGATGCAAGATTAATACAAGCCATGGCAACAATCTGAAAAAAGCCAATGATTCAATAAAAACATTATGGCACTATCATATGTAGTTAGGAAAAAGTGCCCCTCCCAAAACCTAACGAACTTATTTTGACTAAGCAACTTTAGCACACAATTGGGACAACCTTTGGTGAAATAAAATTACAACTGACCTTTCCAAGCCACAAATTTACCAGCTATGTAAGTGGTACGACTTATCTTTATTGCTTAATTCCTCGACTCTGAATCCAGAGTCAAGCTCAGTCTCACAGTAGTGTCTCATTTGGTTAAAAATTCTAATTACCGATTTGAAGTGTCTGGATCCATTTTCTACTTTCTAAAACACAATCCGAAAGTCCGCACTTCCTGGTGGGTGAGAACTAGGTACAAAGGCCTGAACTAACCACTTCCTTTCTGGAAAAGCTTACACTACCCCCCTCCTTCCTATTTCCGGATGAAGAAATCTTTTTTCATCCGCCCCCGCTCTGCTTACCTCGAAACTGTGTTTGACGAAAGACTTGGAGTAGAAAAAACGATGAAACAACACCTGTCCCGTTGCCATCGCCACCTGCAGACAAGAGAGAAGAACGGAAGCGCAGGGGTCAGGCGGGCCCGCACCAAGCGTCGCCGCCATTTTGTGCCGCCGCTCGTTCCCCTTCCCTTCCCCACCGCGAACAGCTCGTGAGCTTCGTCTCCCCGCCCTCCCGCCCACGGCAAGCAACGGCTCCGGCTGGGACCCACGGCTAGAAAGCCAGAGGGTACCTTCCACCCTGCTGGGACAGGCCGGTACTGGGGATACAGCGGAGGGGGGGCATGGCGGGGAGTAGAGGCGCGCCCGGCGGCCCGGGACCGAGGCACTGACCTGCGGCAGCCGGAGAAGAATGCCAGCGGATTGGATGAGCTCGCAGCCCAGGATGCGTAAGTCCGTCTCGCTGGGCAGATCGAGCCCGTCCTGCATGGACGGGGTGGGTGAGAGCCGCTCCTCCGGAATCAGCGAATGGTCGATGGTGAGCGAAACTTCCGAGTAGAGGCGGTCTCCGATCAGAATCCCTCCCGACGTTGTTGTAGTCGTGGTCGTCGTCCCGGAGCTGGAGCCCCCCGCACTCGGGGCGGCCGATGAGGCTGCGGCGGCAGCCGTAGCTGTCGGGTGAGGCCCGGACGCCATAGTCTCAGCGAGCTGCACGCACGCCTAACGCAGCCGGAACCCGGAGCGAAACTAACCAGCGTCCTCGGCGCGACGGATATTCCCGTGATCGCCGCGTTCCGAGCTGCTTTACGCAGCGTGCGCTTCCGCTCATACGTCACCACGTCACCACGCCCTGCCGGCCCGCCCTAACTAGTCTCGTTGACCATTGTCACCGCCCACAGTGCCTCCTCGCGTACAGTATTGTGAGCTGGAGCTGCTTTGTGGGACCCTCGGGTGACCTGGTGACCTGCTGGGGCCCCGGAGTGGTCTAAAGTGGCCCTAAGATCTTTATAGCTAAAACAGATCCAAGCCGCTTAGTTTGTAATATTTTTAGCCACAAGGATAATGGAGTTTTACGAGGTAACTTCTTCCGAAGTTAGAGTTGGCAAAATTTACTGTAACCCCTGTGCGATTTTGTTAATTTGCGTAGAATATGTGTCCTTTTGCTCCCTTCTCTCGCCCTCTCCTAACTTTCCGAATTTGGGAGGCGCAGCTTCAGTGTGTGCACAGAGAAGCTAGGGCCGACCTTCGCCCCCTTTGACGGGTGTAAGCAGTGCACCCTGCTGTCGTGTAGGGACGGACGAACTTAAAGTGACCCGCACGGAATCTGGAAGGAACTGTTTCACTGTATTTTCAGAGAACACAAATGTGGACCACATCGGTTCCGCCCCAAATCTTGTGGATGAGTGTTTTCTATCAAAGGTCAAGGTTTAATGAGTGGGAGGACGTTTGCTCTCACTGCTTGCCCTGCGAAACAGTGACAGTGCCAGGGTTTTCAGTAATCTGGAAAATCCCTAGTTTCCAAAAATAGTTTTAGGATAAGAACCTTACAGAGATAATCTGATTATGCCTGAGAGTCTTGGTTAGAACAAATAGGAGAAATCGATCTCATTTATATTTTTTCCTGTGATAGTAGCTAATAATCCCCCAAATTTCTTGAAATTTGAAATAAAAACAGTGGTACTGAACGAAACTACTGGAGTCCAGAGTTAGAGAAAAAGGACTTCAACCATCTTGGTTTACTTCAACCAACTTTCTATCCCACCTTTGAATTTCTTAGAGATTGTCTAGGGATGAGATTCCCCAATACTTTTCTACTACATAGTTCCGTTGTAAGGCTTAATTTGTGTAACTGTGAAAATAGCATTGCAACTTTAATCTGTAGGGTAAAGGGAATTTGAATACATTTCTATTTTGTCACTGATGTCACTGAGATAGGAATAGTAAGAAGCTAGGAAAATTCTTTGGCCAGCGGCATGGGGAAACAGCTGAACAAACTGACCCAGAAATTCACAACCAGATAAGAAGCTACCCTCCCTGGAGATAACCTCTAGGCTTCAGATGTATTTCAGCTCCAGGCCCAGAAAAGTAGCAAAACTAAGTGGGCAATGCCAGGACCAGCTGCAATGACTAATGACTCTCTGCCCTGGCATTGGACTAGTAAGTGAAGACCATGATCCTGAAAGTTTACACCTGGAAAAGGTGATGAATATTCTATTGACATCTTCCCCTAAGACCTCCCAGACTTTAAAAACTGTCAAAGCAAAGGTCCCGGTACATGTTGCCCTTCCTAGAAGCATGCTGCTCTTTTCTTCTCCCCCTCTTCCCCAACAGGCTGCCCAGGATTCCCTGAAGACTTGTAACCAGGTGAGAAACGGGCAGTGGCAGCTTGTCCTTAGCTAAATCCCTAAACCTGTCTCCAAGGCCCTGTTTCTGCTGACTTCTTGGTGAGCCAAAGCAGTCAGCCCTACCGAGGTCCTCTCCTGTTGTTGTTGTTTAATTTGTATTTATTTGTATTTATTCACTTTACAAAGAGAAGCATCAATTTGTTGTTCCTATTATGTAAGCATTCATTGTTTCCTTTCTGTATGTGCCCTGACCAGGGATTGAGCTTGCAACCGTGGAGTATCTGGATGATGTTCTAACTAACTGAGATACCTGGCCATGTCATCTGTTTCTTCTTTCCTCTGACTTCCCAGTGAAGGGAAGTCTTCCCAAAACAGCCCTGCCTAGGCCCCCACCTGCTTCTTCTATCCTAGGCCCTTTCATGTCTCACTATCCGCAGCTTCAATAAACGTACTCTCCAAATCACCTGGACTTGTGTGACATCTTTCCCGTTTGAAGTCAAGAACCTACACACTACTGGCCAGCTCTAGGAAGACCTATTCAGGGCCAGGTCCCCTTTCCACTAACATCTCTAAGGCAAAACATACTCAAAAACTTCACTTTTAAAAAGCATTAAATCAACCCTACTTAGTAAAGACTGACATCAGTAGTTCTGATCCCTGGCTGCCGATTTGGGGTGGGCCCCAGCTAGGGATTTTGCCCACCCTCCCTCGATTCCAGTGTTCACCCGAGCTGAGAAACACTAGTCCCAGAGAGTAGAGTTTTAGTACAAGCCAAAGCACTTAATCTCTTCATGTCACTTCCTTCCCCTTTCTACAGGCTGCTTCCAATAAAATGTCCATCCCCAATATTCAGAAGGGACTTAAAATACTATGACACATGTTGAAATCTTTTAAGACTAATTGATAATGTGCTTTTTTTCCCTGGTTCTGATAAACTACTTTGGTCGTGTAAGATAGTATCCTTGGAGAAAGTTGGGTGAATAGTACACAGGAACTCTGCTACTTTTGAGACTTCCTGTACGTCTTTAATTATTTTAAAATAAGTTAAAAAATTGATTTTTTCTTTTTAAAATTTATTGATTTTAGAGAAGAGAGGGAGAGAGAAACATTGATTTGTTGTTGCACTTATTTATGCATTCATTGGTTGCTTCTCATATGTGCCCTGACCAGGGATCAAACCCAAGACCTTGGTGCATCTAGATGACGCTCTAACCAACTGAGCCACCCAGCCAAGGCCAAAAAACTAATAGTTAATATGCTTCACTGAACACTGAGCTTTAGTGAAATCACTGCCTATATAAGTAATGGTTTGAGAATAATTTATTCTTAAAGACTATTTCTAATGGAAAATTTCTCCTGTTTAAAGGGTCTAAATTTAATAAATGGACTTCAGTGATGCCCTGATATATAATTTTACCATCTAGGTCCATAGTTCATCCCCAAAAGTTCACAAGGTGAAGCTCCAGAGAGGGGAGAGGTTATTTTCCCCACCTGCAGTGTCTGGCAATCATTTCTAGAAAAGCAGAATCACCTAGACTATGACACAAGTTTGTGCCCATTCCCCACTCCCTTCTGACTGCACCCCAAATTATATCCAATAGATAGGACTCTTTTCACTGTTTCTCCTTTCAGCTTCAATGTAGATGGTGGAGAAGGTAAACCAACATTTTGTTTGATGAAACAAATAAACAATTGTTTGTTTAAGCATTAACTACTACTTCTAATTTTAATATCTTTAAAAAAATCCAATGACTAATCCAGACCATAGGAAGCAATGGGTCTAGTGGCTCTGCCTCACAAGGTCGCTAAAGTGCAGGGGTCAAGTGTTTTTGTGTTACTGTAGCTCATCCTTGTCAGGCTTAACTTTTTTTTTTTAATCACAGTTGAGAAGAGTCATTACACTGTTTCTAACTTATGAAAAAATTGTTTTTCCACTTGATGTCTACTTGTAAACATCAACATTAAAATGGGGAAGTACTAAGACCTATTCAGAGTTATAAGGGATCTAAAATTGGGAAGAGTTAAGCATATGCTTTAATTGTATAAAAACATTAGTAGAAATGAGTTCAGGCAAGTAAGACTCTTCCAGGAGCAATTGAATTCTTTGTCACTCAAAGAAAAAAGTGAATGATCAGTCTATGTTTTATATAGTCTTTCTCAACAAACAGTAGGCCCTTAAATTAACCCAAGTCTAAAAGGAAATCAGTGATGACAGCTAAAGGTGTGTTTCTACTATTTTAAGACCTGCAGGCTTCAGATAATGGCTAAAGAGGCAAACAGAATTATCAGTGGCCTCACTGGGACTACTAAAGAATCAGATTCCAGATGCTTAAATCAGTTCTCACTCCATTAGTCTCTGTGGCCTCTCTGGAGAGCATGTTTTACATTATTTAAACTTTTAGATTCTTTAAGTAAAGTCACAATCGATATAATTTCATTAATTTCTTAGCAATCAGTTATGCATCAGTAGACCAGTGGCATTTAATAACACAATACCATAAACTTGGGTAAGGAAATGAAGTGTAAGTCCTCACCTTAATAAAGAGCATGACACACACCAAGGTAAATGTCAAGGTGACAGGTACGTGCAAAAAGTAGGTAGAAAGAGATAGGTCATCATGGTTAAAACCATCAGGAGAGTTTATAGCTCTGAGAAACTGCTATTCTGTTTACAGCAGAAATCATACAGTATCTGACTTTTTCATGAACCATTCATGTGGTTACATGACTTTTTTTTCATGTCCTTTGGCAGTTATTATGACATCACATTCTGGTCTGGTTCTTCTTGTCATAAGAACTAGTCATTCTAAAAATGATTTACGTGTAATTAGTACTTGGCATGTACTCCTTGGAAAAATTTCAGGGTGGCACCAGCCTGGGCATCCTGCTGCTGGCTCTGCTGAGAGCTGGTTCGGAGACTGGAAACAACCAGTTTTATCATTTCTTGAAGTGAGGGAGTCTTCCTTGACCCCTTGCAGGCCTGAAATTCTTGGACTCTGGTCAACCAGGTATTCTGAATCTCAGACTCATCTTTGGTTATTTCTTCTTTATTCTGTTTTAGTTACCAGGTCCTGTTGTTCCTTACTTCAAGGAAGGAAATTTTCCTTGAATCTGTCTGTTCTGTCTATTCTACCATATCTGCTATTACCTCACGCCTGGACTCTTACAGTAGTTTTCTAAATGATCTTGCTTCCATTTTCTCCCATCCCTCCCTCATTCTGGGAAATCTGTAAATATCGAAATATCAGTTTCTTTACCTCACTCAAGTTAAAAATTTTGGAGATAAAAGATGGAGCTCGAACACATTTTGACAGCTGAGTTTTTCCACAATCTAGATTTACCTTGCCATTCATTTTCTTATTGCATTACCAGCTTGCCTTATCCTGCTCTCCCTCCCTCAGGTGTCTGCTTGAACCAAGACCAGCCAGACCTGTCTCCTCGCTAAC